ATTAGTTGAACGAAACGGAGTGGAGTTCAACACACCTGTAACCTATAAACCTACTGTAATCTATAAACAGTTGAACGAAACGAAGTGAAACGGAGTGAAGTTCAACACACCTGTAATTTATAAACCTACTGTAATCTATAAGATCTGAGTTCAACACACCTGTTGTTTTATTTTTAATTTTTAATGAAACACGTCTTAATGTTTTTGTTCGTGTTTTTCAACTGATTTTTTTTATTTTCTCAGACTACTGAGATTATATTTTACACCTGTAACCTATAAACCTTCTGTAATCTATAAACAGTTGAACGAAACGGAGTGAAACGGAGTGGAGTTCAACACACCTGTAACCTATAAACCTACTGTAATCCATAAACAGTTGAACGAAACGGAGTGAAACGAAGTGGAGTTCAACACACCTGTAACCTATAAACCTACTGTAATCTATAAACAGTTGAACGAAACGGAGTGGAGTTCAACACACCTGTAACCTATAAACCTACTGTAATCTATAAACAGTTGAACGAAACGGAGTGAAACGGAGTGGAGTTCAACACACCTGTAACCTATAAACCTACTGTAATCTATAAACAGTTGAACGAAACGAAGTGAAACGGAGTGAAGTTCAACACACCTGTAATTTATAAACCTACTGTAATCTATAAACAGTTGAACGAAACGGAGTGAAACGGAGTGGAGTTCAACACACCTGTAACCTTTAAACCTACTGTAATCTATAAACAGTTGAACGAAACGGAGTGAAACGGAGTGGAGTTCAACACACCTGTAACCTATAAACCTACTGTAATCTATAAACAGTTGAACGAAACGGAGTGAAACGGAGTGGAGTTCAACACACCTGTAACCTATAAACCTACTGTAATCTATAAACAGTTGAACGAAACGGAGTGAAACGGAGTGGAGTTCAACACACCTGTAACCTATAAACCTACTGTAATCCATAAACAGTTGAACGAAACGGAGTGAAACGGAGTGAAACGGAGTGAAGTTCAACACACCTGTAACCTATAAACCTACTGTAATCTATAAACAGTTGAACGAAACGGAGTGAAACGGAGTGGAGTTCAACACACCTGTAACCTTTAAACCTACTGTAATCTATAAACAGTTGAACGAAACGGAGTGAAACGGAGTGGAGTTCAACACACCTGTAACCTATAAACCTACTGTAATCTATAAACAGTTGAACGAAACGGAGTGAAACGGAGTGAAGTTCATCACACCTGTAACCTATAAACCTACTGTAATCTATAGACAGTTGAACGAAACGGAGTGAAACGGAGTGGAGTTCAACACACCTGTAACCTATAAATCTAAACTAGGTTGAGCGAAGCTCACAAATTTTTACGACCTGAACGGAGCGAAGCGAAGTGAAGGCGTGAAAATTTTACCCGTCTTTAAAAATCCAGATCGATCTAGATAATTTGGTTGCATCTATGACCTTAAAAGTATTTAAAAATAAATATTGATATTGAAGTTCAACACACCTGTAATTTATATACCTACTGTAATCTATAAGATCTGAGTTCAACACACCTGTTGTTTTATTTTTAATTTTTAATGAAACACGTCTTAATGTTTTTGTTCGTGTTTTTCAACTGATTTTTTTTTATTTTCTCAGACTACTGAGATTCTATTTTACACCTGTAACCTATAAACCTTCTGTAATCTATAAACAGTTGAACGAAACGGAGTGAAACGGAGTGGAGTTCAACACACCTGTAACCTATAAACCTACTGTAATCTATAAACAGTTGAACGAAACGGAGTGAAACGGAGTGGAGTTCAACACACCTGTAACCTATAAACCTACTGTAATCTATAAACAGTTGAACGAAACGAAGTGAAACGGAGTGAAGTTCAACACACCTGTAATTTATAAACCTACTGTAATCTATAAACAGTTGAACGAAACGGAGTGAAACGGAGTGGAGTTCAACACACCTGTAACCTTTAAACCTACTGTAATCTATAAACAGTTGAACGAAACGGAGTGAAACGGAGTGAAGTTCATCACACCTGTAACCTATAAACCTACTGTAATCTATAAACAGTTGAACGAAACGGAGTGAAACGGAGTGGAGTTCAACACACCTGTAACCTATAAACCTACTGTAATCTATAAACAGTTGAACGAAACGAAGTGAAACGGAGTGAAGTTCAACACACCTGTAATTTATAAACCTACTGTAATCTATAAACAGTTGAACGAAACGGAGTGAAACGGAGTGGAGTTCAACACACCTGTAACCTTTAAACCTACTGTAATCTATAAACAGTTGAACGAAACGGAGTGAAACGGAGTGAAGTTCATCACACCTGTAACCTATAAACCTACTGTAATCTATAAACAGTTGAACGAAACGGAGTGAAACGGAGTGGAGTTCAACACACCTGTAACCTATAAATCTAAACTAGGTTGAGCGAAGCTCACAAATTTTTACGACCTGAACGGAGCGAAGCGAAGTGAAGGCGTGAAAATTTTACCCGTTTTTAAAAATCCAGATCGATCTAGATAATTTGGTTGCATCTATGACTTTAAAAGTATTTAAAAATAAATATTGATATTGAAGTTCAACACACCTGTAATTTATATACCTACTGTAATCTATAAGATCTGAGTTCAACACACCTGTTGTTTTATTTTTAATTTTTAATGAAACACGTCTTAATGTTTTTGTTCGTGTTTTTCAACTGATTTTTTTTTATTTTCTCAGACTACTGAGATTATATTTTACACCTGTAACCTATAAACCTTCTGTAATCTATAAACAGTTGAACGAAACGGAGTGAAACGGAGTGGAGTTCAACACACCTGTAACCTATAAACCTACTGTAACTTATAAACAGTTGAACGAAACGAAGTGAAACGGAGTGAAGTTCAACACACCTGTAACCTATAAACCTACTGTAATCTATAAACAGTTGAACGAAACGGAGTGAAACGGAGTGGAGTTCAACACACCTGTAACCTATAAACCTACTGTAATCTATAAACAGTTGAACGAAACGAAGTGAAACGGAGTGAAGTTCAACACACCTGTAACCTTTAAACCTACTGTAATCTATAAACAGTTGAACGAAACGGAGTGAAACGGAGTGGAGTTCAACACACCTGTAACCTATAAACCTACTGTAATCTATAAACAGTTGAACGAAACGGAGTGAAACGGAGTGAAGTTCATCACACCTGTAACCTATAAACCTACTGTAATCTATAAACAGTTGAACGAAACGGAGTGAAACGGAGTGGAGTTCAACACACCTGTAACCTATAAATCTAAACTAGGTTGAGCGAAGCTCACAAATTTTTACGACCTGAACGGAGCGAAGCGAAGTGAAGGCGTGAAAATTTTACCCGTTTTTAAAAATCCAGATCGATCTAGATAATTTGGTTGCATCTATGACTTTAAAAGTATTTAAAAATAAATATTGATATTGAAGTTCAACACACCTGTAATTTATATACCTACTGTAATCTATAAGATCTGAGTTCAACACACCTGTTGTTTTATTTTTAATTTTTAATGAAACACGTCTTAATGTTTTTGTTCGTGTTTTTCAACTGATTTTTTTTTATTTTCTCAGACTACTGAGATTATATTTTACACCTGTAACCTATAAACCTTCTGTAATCTATAAACAGTTGAACGAAACGGAGTGAAACGGAGTGGAGTTCAACACACCTGTAACCTATAAACCTACTGTAACTTATAAACAGTTGAACGAAACGAAGTGAAACGGAGTGAAGTTCAACACACCTGTAACCTATAAACCTACTGTAATCTATAAACAGTTGAACGAAACGGAGTGAAACGGAGTGGAGTTCAACACACCTGTAACCTATAAACCTACTGTAATCTATAAACAGTTGAACGAAACGAAGTGAAACGGAGTGAAGTTCAACACACCTGTAACCTTTAAACCTACTGTAATCTATAAACAGTTGAACGAAACGGAGTGAAACGGAGTGGAGTTCAACACACCTGTAACCTATAAACCTACTGTAATCTATAAACAGTTGAACGAAACGGAGTGAAACGGAGTGAAGTTCATCACACCTGTAACCTATAAACCTACTGTAATCTATAAACAGTTGAACGAAACGGAGTGAAACGGAGTGGAGTTCAACACACCTGTAACCTATAAATCTAAACTAGGTTGAGCGAAGCTCACAAATTTTTACGACCTGAACGGAGCGAAGCGAAGTGAAGGCGTGAAAATTTTACCCGTTTTTAAAAATCCAGATCGATCTAGATAATTTGGTTGCATCTATGACCTTAAAAGTATTTAAAAATAAATATTGATATTGAAGTTCAACACACCTGTAATTTATAAACCTACTGTAATCTATAAGATCTGAGTTCAACACACCTGTTGTTTTATTTTTAATTTTTAATGAAACACGTCTTAATGTTTTTGTTCGTGTTTTTCAACTGATTTTTTTTATTTTCTCAGACTACTGAGATCATTATTTTACACCTGTAACCTATACAAGAGCCTACTGTAATCTATAAACAGTTGAACGAAACGGAGCACACAAGTTGCAAAACTATCGAAGACTGTAACCTACTGTAACCTATTTTGAAGTCTGATCTACATAAGAGACTGACTGCGGAGTAGCAACTGGAGCGAAGCGGAAGTTGCAAAACTATCCAAGACTGTAACCTATGTTTAAGTCTGATCTACAACAGAGAGTTAATGGCTTTCTTCAAAAGTCGTATTTTTTTATTTATAATTTTAAGTATTGTATTTTTTGCGACACTGGAACCATGATTTTCTTTGTAAAACGTGTTTTTAAGGCATTTTTTACTTTGTTGATAATACACTAAAATGTTTAGTTTAAGTTTTACATTTTATTGAGAGAAGATCTTTCAATATTTTCTGAACAGTACATAGAGAGTTCTATAGGATTGTGTGAATATTCCCATGAAGCGTGATCGGCTTCATTACTAGTCTTATTGTTTATTTGATCTTCAAAGGTATCAGCCTCCCAATGCAGCCACCATTTGATAATGCGTAAGGAAAATATTTTTTTAATTTTTTTCTTGTTATAAATATGAACGTTTTATTGACGTAAAGTTTCCATTTCATTTTATTTCGAAGATGTAATTACATTCATTATGCGAACGATACTCAAACCAGCTGCCCAGTTTATCCCAACATTCAATACGTGATAAATGTTGAAATGCAAATTTCATCCCTTTTTCCAGCATTTACAAACACTCGAGTACAAGGTATGATTGCTCACAATTAAAGTTTAATAGTTTGAAAAAAAAATACTTTATAAAAAAAACTTTTTAAAAAAACTACGTTTTTCGCGTAGACTAAAAAGTAGAAAATAACTTTTATTCTTGGTTGTAAAGAATTTGGTTTTAAATTTTCAGATTATATTTAATAAATTTTTATATCCTAGTCAATATTGTTCACAAAGTTTCGAATAAGTGCACTTTGATCTTATCGTATAACTCAACAACTTAAAAACGTGGGCGCATTAATTTAAGTTTATCATAAAGTATTGATTTCACATAAACTTATTTCTTCTCTTATAATGCGCCCACGTTTTTAAGTTGTTGAGTTATACGATAAGATCAAAGTGCACTTATTCGAAACTTTGTGAACAATATTGACTAGGATATAAAAATTTATTAAATATAATCTGAAAATTTAAAACCAAATTCTTTAAAACCAAGAATAAAAGTTATTTTCTACTTTTTAGTCTACGCGAAAAAGGTAGTTTTTTTAAAAAGTTTTTTTTATAAAGTATTTTATTTTCTACTTTTTAGTCTTATTCTAATGAAATAGAGAAATAAAGATTATAGGGGGTTTATAGGTTACAGGTGTGTTGAACTTCACTTCGTTACGTTCAACTGTTTATAGATTACAGTAGGTTTATAGGTTACAGGTGTGTTGAACTTCACTTCGTTGCACTTCGTTACGTTCAACTGTTTATAGATTACAGTAGGTTTATAGGTTACAGGTGTGTTGAACTTCACTTCGTTGCACTTCGTTACGTTCAACTGTTTATAGATTACAGTAGGTTTATAGGTTACAGGTGTGTTGAACTTCACTTCGTTGCACTTCGTTACGTTCAACTGTTTAAAGATTACAGTGGGTTTATAGGTTACAGGTGTGTTGAACTCCACTTCGTTGCACTTCGTTACGTTCAACTGTTTATAGATTACAGTAGGTTCATAGGTTACTGGTGTGTTGAACTCCACTTCGTTACGTTCAACTGTTTATAGATTACAGTAGGTTCATAGGTTACTGGTGTGTTGAACTCCACTTCGTTGCACTTCGTTACGTTCAACTGTTTATAGATTACAGTAGGTTTATAGGTTACAGGTGTGTTGAACTTCACTTCGTTGCACTTCGTTACGTTCAACTGTTTAAAGATTACATTGGGTTTATAGGTTACAGGTGTGTTGAACTCCACTTCGTTGCACTTCGTTACGTTCAACTGTTTATAGATTACAGTAGGTTCATAGGTTACTGGTGTGTTGAACTCCACTTTGTTGCACTTCGTTACGTTCAACTGTTTATAGATTACAGTAGGTTCATAGGTTACTGGTGTGTTGAACTCCACTTCGTTGCACTTCGTTACGTTCAACTGTTTAAAGATTACAGTGGGTTTATAGGTTACAGGTGTGTTGAACTCCACTTCGTTGCACTTCGTTACGTTCAACTGTTTATAAATTACCAGTTTTCAATGGGAAATTAGTAACGACTTTCAAAATTTTTCATTCGTTTTATAAAATTTAATTTTTTTAAAGCATTCATTAGTAAAGTACATTAAAAATCACTCGTAAAGATTTTGTGTTTATCCGAACCATTCCTACTACATAACGTGTGGATTCTTAACATAAAGATGCAAATCAAATCTATATGTAACGTATTTATAACGGATTTTCAAATTTAACTTCAATGAATATCATTCATATGTTATGCAAAAATACGTCAAGCCGTTAATAAAAAGAAAAGTCAATTTAATTAAGTTGGTGAAGTGTTATAAATAATGCAATACATTTAAAACAGCATAAATTTATGCTCAATCAATGTGTGCTAAATGCACATCGCATATTAATAGTTATTTTGCATAAATTCGTAACGGACTTGTGCTTAACGGTTTTTTTGAAAATTCAAATTTTCACTTACGAATATTCATGAAAAAATTACATGTCAATTTTTTTGTCTTACCAGAATATCTTTAGCTGCTCAAATTTATGGTATAATTAATAATTAGTAATATTAATTAAACTATAATGAATCATATAAATGACTTTAGAGCATCACAAGTATAATATTTTAAACAAATCAAAATTTCATATCATTGACATTGGATTTTTCTCCCAAATAAAAAAGTTTTATTAAAATTGTACCATAATTAAGCATTTTTGTGGTTCCAATGTGTTAAAATATTGTATTGTCACCGGGAATACGTGTGAATAAAAAAAATGAGCTCGATTGGAGCAGTAGAAGTGGTCGAAAAATTGATCGCAAGATTTGACCTCGACAAACAGATAAACAGATAAACAGATAAACAGATAAACAGATAAACAGATAAACAGATAAGAAAGCAAGTTAAGAAAAACGTGGTAAAAAAATAAATCTATTTTTATTAAAGTTGAATTTTGGGATGGAAATCAGCGAGCTGCATGTGGACAAATTATTGCTGATCTTATATAAACCCAAATTGGTATTTTTATCTTTAATTATGAATAGCTTATGAGGGGAGTCATACAACTGCCCCAAATCAATTGCCCCACGATCAGAAAATAGATAAATTTATATACCCCACCGTATCAACTGCCCCAATGTCTATTATGGGGAAAACGAAATATTTCTAGGGTCATGAAACTTTTCCTACATATGTACATAACAAAATTCAAATTTATTATTTCAATAGACTTTATTGATCATTCAATAACATCCTGTAGAGAGGGAAACTATTTTGGGCTAACGTCTAGCCAAAATGTGCTAGGTACTGTTAAAATTCCGTCTTCGTCGATCTCACAATCCTTTCCTATTGATAATATTGGATATGCAGGCGGTGTATCATGTCGAATTAACTTTGGAGTATCTGTTGGAATGCATCGCAGTTTTGGTTGAGTAGATTGAATAGGAGCAATAGTTGTGGGTGGTGGATTAAATATCTCTCCGACTGCTAACGGTCTCATACCAAATAATAAAGATGTGGTGACATTCTCAAATCAAAACTCGATGCTGCTCCAAAAGAAACTGTGTACTCGGCACTTGCATAAACTAGCTTTGGATCCGTGATCCCAATAATACAACCTTCCAATATTATGTAGTCTCGACTTAACAAATCATTGTATTCTTCTTCTTTAGTTAAATATATAAAAACAATACCATCTAAGATTTTTGCTTCATAGTCAGCAACACGATGACAGCCAATGATTGAAGTAACTTAAACTATGAACTGGTGAATAATATGTGTCAGTGGAATGGTATTGCTGACACCTTCCAATTTCAAGACTCCTCCGCAGCAATTACCTCTTGCTGGATTCTTGACACTTATAACCAATTTATTCTTTTTAGTTTTCTTAACGACTCTTTCACATTGCAAATTGGCAGGCGCTCGAATTGGTGATCGTGAAATAGGTGGACGTTGAAATATTTATAAAAAACTACAAAAGTCCTCGTGTTATTGATAGAGGGACTTCAGCGCATTTTTGACGCAGCGATCAGTATTTGATTATCTAATTATTTTGCGTTCATTTACATATCATTATATAGAAAGGCTTTATTATTTAACGGTCAACAAATAATTTGAAATATTTCCGTTAAAAATTGCACTACAAAAACATCAATTATAGTATGATTAATAATTTGTTGCAATGAATTTCAATACAGAAAAAGTGTATCGGGTAGAAACCCAATGCGGATATATTCACACCGTTCCATCAAAAGTCTTATGGATAGACCAAGATTTGCTCAACATATGTTTGGAGGGTACGCGTGAAGTACGGCCGAGACCCATATCGACACAGTTCAAAAGTTATACCTAATTTATGTCATAATTATGTCAGCTACAAAAACACTTAGTTTGAATTTTGTCACCCTCGGGAACACTATGAACCAGTATAGCTGATTTTGGTCCAAATCTCGTAAATGTTAAAATATTATTAAAAAGTAATTAATCCTGAATTATGTCGCTATTTTGTCAAGTGTTTTAAGATAAAAAATTTGTTTTTTGGTTTCCACAGTGAAGAGTATTAACAAAATTCAGATGGGGTAATCGAAATTTTAGATTTCGATTTTTTTTAAGCTATGCATTACAAAAAGTAATATTGGTATGTGATTTATGTCAGAATTATGTCAATTTAAATAAAACATCCAAAAAATTTTTTTGACCAAAGTACACCATAGAAAATCAATTTTAATTTTGGACTAGGGGCGACCCTAGTCAAAATCAATTTTGTCACTTTTTTCTTCGAGGGTTTATCCAAATGGATTGAAACTTTGCATAAATATTCTAGTGCTTAAAACAAAAACAAATAAAACATCCTTAAATTTTTTTGAGCAAAGAACCAAGTAGGAAATACATTTTCAATTTTGGACTAGGGGCGACCCTAGTCAAAATCAATTTTGTCACTTTTTTTCTTCGAGGGTTTATCCAAATGGATTAAAACTTTGCATAAATATTCTAGTGCTTAAAACAAATACAAATAAAACATCTTAAAATTTTTTTGAGCAAAGAACCAAGTAGGAAATACATTTTCAATTTTGGACTAGGGGTGACCCTAGTCAAAATCAATTTTGTCACTTTTTTCTTCGAGGGTTTATCCAAATGGATTGAAACTTTGCATAATTATTTTAATGCTTAAAAAAATACAAATAAAACATCCTAAAATTTTTTTGAGCAAAGAACCAAGAAGGAAATACATTTTCAATTTTGGACTAGGGGCGACCCTAGTCAAAATCAATTTTGTCACTTTTTTCTTCGAGGGTTTATCCAAATGGATTGAAACTTTGCATAAATATTCTTGTGCCTAAAACAAATACAAATAAAACATCTTAAAATTTTTTGAGCAAAGAACCAAGTAGGAAATACATTTTCAATTTTGGACTAGGGGCGACCCTAGTCAAAATCAATTTTGTCACTTTTTTCTTCGAGGGTTTATCCAAATGGATTGAAACTTTGCATAAATATTTTAATGCTTAAAACAAATACAAATAAAACATCCCAAAATTTTTTTGAGCAAAGAACCAAGAAGGAAATACATTTTCAATTATAAACTTGGGACAGGTCCAGTCAAAATCTAGTTTTTCACTTTTTTCTTCGAGGATAAATCCAAATACAGTTAAACTTTGTATGAGCATTCTAATCTTCAGGTCACACATTTCTGAATTAATAAAAATTTTTAAGTCACGTTGTTTTTGAATGTACAACCAAATTAATAAAATTGGGGTCTGACGACATATCGAATACATTTCTTGCTTTAGATATTTAAAACTGTTTTGTATAAATATTAGTATACTCACACAAAGTTTCACTGTAAATGGATAAACCTTCGAAGAAAAAAAGTGACAAATTGATTTTGACTAGGGTCGCCCCTAGTCCAAAATTGAAAATGTATTTCCTACTTGGTTCTTTGCTCAAAAAAATTTTGGGATGTTTTATTTGTATTTGTTTTAAGCACTAGAATAAAAAAAATATTTATGCAAAGTTTCAATCCATTTGGATAAACCCTCGAAGAAAAACGTGACAAAATTGATTTTGACTAGGGTCGCCCCTAGTCCAAAATTGAAATTGTATTTCCTACTTGGTTCTTTGCTCAAAAAAATTTTAAGATGTTTTATTTGTATTTAATTTAGGCACAAGAATATTTATGCAAAGTTTCAATCCATTTGGATAAACCCTCGAAGAAAAAAGTGAGAAAATTGATTTTGACTAGGGTCGCCCCTAGTCCAAAATTGAAAATGTATTTCCTTCTTGGTTCTTTGCTCAAAAAAATTTTAGGATGTTTTATTTGTATTTTTTTAAGCATTAAAATATTTATGCAAAGTTTCAATCCATTTGGATAAACCCTTGAAGAAAAAAGTGACAAAATTGATTTTGACTAGGGTCGCCCCTAGTCCAAAATTGAAAATGTATTTCCTACTTGGTTTTTTGCTCAAAAAAATTTTAGGATGTTTTATTTGTATTTGTTTTAAGCACTAATATTTATAAAAAGTTTCAATCCATTTGGAAAAACCCTCGAAGAAAAAAGTGACAAAATTGATTTGACTAGGGTCGCCCCTAGTCCAAAATCGAAAATGTATTTCCTACTTGGTTCTTTGCTCAAAAAAATTTTTTTCATCCAAAGTTTAATATAAAAAAAATCACAGTGAACTTTTAATTTGAAAAATTCGTAAGAAAGGAAAGTTTTTTGCTTTTTCTGAAGCAACGGCTGTTCCTTTCTTGCCCAAAAACAATACAGCTCTTCTATAGAGCAGCACGGATCAAATGTAAAAAACTAGAAGTCTCTACGATATCTCGTTATTGAGATTTCTTGCTGATTAACTTGCTTGCTTATAGAAAGTGTATTTTGCGATTTTCTCAGCAATGCCGTAACCAATTCAAAATCTGTTTTTTGCAAATGATGTAAAATTTCAGGCAAAAACTTTTCTTCTCGGACCTTATATAGCCAATTTCGCTTCATTTTCTCACAAAATTTTCTCACACGTGAAAACGGTGTGAATATAAAAAGTTTATCATTTAACGGTTTTATGAAATTCAAATTTTACAACTGCTAGAAAAAATTTGAAATTATAGAGCTAATGCTGAATTTTTTAAACGTACTCATCACGTGGTTTTGTTTATGAAATAAAAAAACCAATAATTATAGTATAAATGCACTGTTTCAAGACTTTTAACTGTTCGATCGGCAAATAAATCAATAGTAACGGTGCTAATAAAACAAACCTGAGCTCTTTACGATGTCTGGTTGAAAAGTTTTTCTTCAGACGATCGAACAAACGAACAAAGTGCATTATTAAGCTCCCCTTTTGTATACAAGTATACAAAAATGCGCTAAAAATCTGGGCAATTGACCCATGGGAAATTATATTTGGGGCAATTAATACGCTGGGGCAGTTAACCAATTGGGGCAGTTGATTGTGGGGAAAATATAATGGGGCTGTTAAGCCTTGGGTAGATAATTTTGAGGCAGTCGTACCACACCCCTTATCAGTAGTTGAAACTTAATTTTTTAAAAATTATTCTGCATAAGTTGTTACAAATTGGTGATTGGTAGATTATTGGTAGAAACGAAGTTTGTTTTTTGAAGTTATTTCCTTTTCCTTTTAATTTCTTCTTTTCTTCCAATCATTGTTCAAGCAAAATGTTTGAAAAGATTCTTATTAATTTATTTTCGTTTGTATTTTATCATTACTTCTGCTTCAATGCAAGAGCTCCCTGAGTCATGCTTTATATCATTACGGATTGTGAGATTAGAATTTGTAACTAGACCCATGATTTTTTTTTTGGCGAATCCAGATATTCTTACTATTTTTCGATGATTATCACAAAAAGTATTCTGGAAAGTAATTTAAAATAGACCAAAAAAGTTATAATCAAAAGTCATGCATTGATAGTAATTTTATTTACCTCATTTCCACCGCCACATTTAAGTGCTGATCCTGTTCTCAATAAAGGAATCAGATCATTTTGATTCCTTCTTTTGGAGCAGCTGACTTTTGTGATGTTCAATATTACTAATTTAGCATCACGAATAATAGCTTTTGACTTCATAAAACATTAAACATGATAAGTTTTATAAATAAATGGCCAATAATAATTTAAAAACATTTAAGGTAAACTTGTGTTTAAATTGAGCAAATTAAATTAAGTGTTTTTTGTAAAGTAATGAGCAACCTATACAATTCAAAAACTGTGGGACACTGAGTAGTATGCTTTCGAGACCAAGAATTATTTAACAAACATTTTTTAAAGCAAAATTAATTTTTTTTTGTTAAAATCGTTAAAATATCAAAATAATCTTCCGAATAAGGTTTTAACGTAATGTTTTGATTTAAATTAAATATTAAGTCTTAAAATTTTTTACTGAAATTCCCAGGAAGTTTCAGTCTCGGTCTCGAAAATTTCATTGAAATATGTACGTAAAATCCAAATATACTTTTTTAAACATAAATTTTCAACCATTAATCATTTTTCAGCATTTGTAATAAAGTTGTTGCAAAAATTACTGTGTACTAAAAACTATGTTATCGCAAATGGTAACTACGCAATCAGGTAGTAGGTAATTACTATGTAGGACCGTTATAAAAAGACATTATTCAATTAAAATATGATTTATTATGAATTAGCAGGATCAATTTGTCAATGTATGTAATATGTATACTTACTATTGCACTTTTATATGGACTTATATCTGCACAAATGTCAGAAAAAACTTCACAATTTTCATTAATTGACATTGTAGAGTTTGGTAAAATTTTTATTATTCGATTGTCATCTCCACAATTTGCAATTTTTGTTAAAGTGATTTTATAGCCATCCTTAAAACGATTAGAAAATCAATTTTAAAAATAATTTTTTTATAGAATGATCTTAAAGCCCATCAACTCACACAAGCTAAACTAATATGTAAAATTTGATGCAAAATGAATATTATAACAACAACTTTTATCATTGATTTGTCCAGAACAAATGTTTATAAACCCATGTTGCAAAAATAAATTTTCCTAATTCGTTAATTCACTATCATTTCGCAAAATCATCTTAACTGTATGAAATTATGTAATTGTCTATTAAAATTTGTGTGACATTTTACAAAATTACAGCCATGAAATTTTTACCTTCCTGTTTGAATTAAACACACAATTGAAAAATTTATTGTTTGATCGTAAAGCAAGCAAAAATCTCATTATGCTTAAAAGCATCCCGTTAATGATCTTCGGCAGTAAACAGTTTTTTTATTATTTTCCATCGTCATTCCAACCTCATAAAATTTTCATGTTAAGGTTTTTAGTCAATCGCATACAAAAAGTAATGACAAGGTCGCTTCTATAAAAAAAATTAATGAAATCATATCACCCTGCACAGACTGAAAAGGAGAAACATGTAAAATGCTTACTCTTATTGAAAGAAATTAAAGGAAGTTGGCTGGTATGATATTGAAAAAATTTATTTAAAGCGCATTTCTTAAAAATCTTACTAATATGTTAGGAATATTTTCAATATTTTAATGTTTTTGATTCTTAATTTCTACATAATTAAAATAAAGAACACAAGAACTTCTAAAAGGACTTAATTTTTAAAAATAATTAAAATCGGACATACACTCAAAATATGCACGTTTGAATATTTATAAAGTTATCTTGTCACGTCACGCGAATGCGATGGAATCAGGTAATGAAGGAATTCGAAAAACTGTTGACCTTCATAAAGAAATTCACTTTATGCAGTGCACGGACGTAAACAGATGCGAGACAAGAAAGAAAAGAGATCAGTGAACGACTGGACGAGAAAAAAATAAAACTGAAAGTGAATTTATTTATCTTTTGTTCCTTCTTCTTATTATTTAACTAAATGAAATGGATTTTTTTATTTAACAGAATAATGGTCTATTTAAACTAGAGCAATAAAAAGAAGGGATTTATGAAGTTACATTCGATATGATAATATTGTGTCTGAATGGATTAAATTAATTTATTGAAAGATATTTATTTCATCAGATATCATTTATTGTTGACATTGGTTATTATTTATTGCAGAAAATCATGAGTATTAATGGCAATTACCGATGTCGAAAATTCAAACTCGCATGTGATGAAATTTTATAATATGTGGAATCTTAGTAAGTTAAAACTGAAAGAATTTTAAGCTCAAAAACCTAGCTTTAATTTTTAAAAAATTTGCTAAAGCTAGGGATTAGTTACCAATTTATTATTCACTTCTTCAAACCGTATTGCATGATTAGTTCAACAAAAATTGATTTTTGACTACACACCTGTAATAATTCGATGATATTTTTAAATGTGGGATGATTATTAATATTTCCATTATCACTTGTAGTTATAAACTAGTGTATCGGGTAGAAACCCAATGCGGATTATATTCACACCGTACCATCAAAAGTCTTATGGATAGACCAAGATTTGCCCAGCATAAGTATGAAGAAAGCAGGAGATATAAAGCTAGCGAGTCAGCTGAGCTTCGCTCAGCATAAGTTTGGAGGTTTAAAGCTTAACGAACATTCTTTAAAAGTATGTTATCATCCAAAGTTTAATTTTTATAAAAATCACAGTGAACTTTTGTTTTAAAAAATTCGTAAGAAAGGAAAGTCTTTTGCTTTTTCTGAAGCAACGGCTGTTCCTACTTTGCCCAAAAACAATACAGCTCTTCTATAGAGCAGCACGGATCAAATGTAAAAAACTAGAAGTCTCTACAATGTCTTGTTATTGAGATTTCTTGCTGATTAACTTGCTTGCTTGCTTGCTTACAAAAAGCGTATTTTGCGATTTTCTCTACAATGCCGCAACCAATTTGAAATCTGTTTTTTGCAAAAGATGTAAAATTTAAGGCACAAACTTTTTTCTAGTACCTTTTATAACCAATTTTGCTTCGTTTTCTCACAAAATGCAAAAAACTGATTTTTCAATCTGAACAATACCAATAGATTCACACGTGAAAACGGTGTGAATATACTAATTAAAATAATTGCCTTAATATGAACATCACAGATTGATTAATTACATAAAAAGCGTGTAATTAACTTCAACTCTAAAAGATATCGAAAAAATCATCAAAATTGATCATGCTTAATGACAGAATGTAGTACTTAATAAAATTGCTGTGTCTGATTGAAAAGCTTAAGTACCATAAAAAATGAAAAGTTAAATATATTTATCTGGTTCGTACCACGTTAAATTATTTAAAATTTCTTTTTAGTATATCTCATAAAAGTGAGAATTAGGAATTATTAAATGTAGTTAAGTTGAAGTTGAAGTCCCAGATTCTTTCATTTAAAATTTAATTAGATTAAATAATAATTTTACTGTAATTTTTTGCAATAAATAAAAACCCGACAATCTTGTTTTCTGATAAATAATTCACATATTCAATCCATTTCATAAGGTTATGTGTGATAACCATTTTGATTGATTGATTCGAGTTTTTGCATACCATAATTGTAACGAAATTAATTTGATTTTTTTCAGCTCCTTAATAGAAGGCATAAAAACTAATTTTATATTTCAAATCATATCTTGCAGCTCATTTGGATTGGCAATATTTTTTTTTAAATATAAAAGCTGAGTTTGTTTTTTGATTATTAGATAAAAGTCCATAATTACCATTTTATTGAAAACGTATTTTATGTAAGGATCAAAAGGGTATCAATTGATTTCAATTATATTCCTTTCCATTATGACAATGCTTATTTTTTAATGCTCACTAATTTTATTGTTGAGTCAGCAAAAAAATGGATTAATACAGATTAATATTCCATTCTCAATGAAAATTGTGGCTATTATTATTTAAAAACAATTGATATTTTATTCAAACATTTTAATAAATTACCATTAAGATCTGTTACCTTTGTGCTCTTTTCTTATTTATGATGTCACATCCTAAAAGTTTTATAAAAACTATATTTGTAAGTGCGAAAATTTGGTGTTTAAAAAAAACTTTTTTCGACACAAATAAAACCATGCGGGTGCTAAGAGTTTAAAACAATGTTTTAAATTTAAATCATAAATTCAAGCCCAATTAAGAATAAAATTAAAAAAGAATATTATTCATTTAAATTGTATTTTTAAGTTTATTTACAACTTAATAAGTACAGAACACACAGAATTTCTTTTTAGAGAAAATTCAATAAATTATATACATAAATTCATAACCGAGATTTTGCTATAACAGTTCAATAGACTCTTTAGTAATGGTAGTTGAAGTGTGGTGCATTGACGGCAACATGAGCTGAGTGTTCAGCAGATGAGTATTTAACTGGAGCAACAGCTTTAACGGCGACTGGCTGGTATGACTTTACAACTGGGGCAACATACTTTTCAACAACTGGAGCTGGCTGGACGTATTTCTGTACAATTGGAGTTGAATATACTGGGGCTGATTGAACGTATTTCTGAACAACTGGAGCGGAGTAGATTGGAGATGAGTAGACTGGAGCTGATTGGACGTATTTTTGAGGAGCTGAGTAAACTGGGGCTGATTGGATATATTTCTGAACAACTGGGGCTGATTGGACATATTTCTGAACAACTGGGGCTGAGTAGACTGGGGCTGATTGAACATACTTCTGTGCAACTGGAGCAGCAACTTTTGTGTAGGTTGGTTGTGCAACTTGAACGATTTTGTGACCTTCAACTGGTTCACGACGAACATTGGCAACGAATCCATGGTGATCATCGGCTGTGTATGAAACAATACGTCTGTATCCATCAGCATCAATCAATGAGTATTCTCCTGAGATAGCACCATCCTTGGCAACTTCGTGTTGTTGCTTGATGTCACCAGTTTGTGGATCATGGACATCATAGTTGAATTCGTAGTTTGCTGGGGCTTCATGTTCATATGCAACTTTCTTAATCAAAGCTGGTTGAACTTGCTTAACTACAGCTGGGGCAGCATAATGATGATTGTCATAGTTCGAGTTGTAATAGTCATTTTGATAATGTTGAGCTGATGCAACAGCAACAAGAGCGAACAATGCAATGAACTGTAGATAGAAGAAAAAAATTATTTTTAAAAATCAATCTATAGTTTATGCTTATTAAAGTTTTTTTTTTGATCTTTTGAAAATATTATTTGAAATATTTTTTAACTGTTTTCAAAAATAAACCAAAAAAAAGTTTTTTGAAATTTATCACTTTTTCTTAAAATTTGTTAAAGTTTAATAAACTTACTTTTGATGCCATTTTAGATATTATTTTGGGATTTGTAGTGCTGTTACTTGAATGATTGCAACAATTGAACTATATCTTTGAAACCAAATTAATAGCTATATATAGTAAAACAAATTCATAGGCCCACTACTGTCAATAAACATTTTTCGGTCAATTTTCAACTTCCAAAAATTCTCTCAATTTGTTTTACTGCTCAATTTTATTTCTTTTTCCTTTCTTTGTGTTGTTTTGTTTAATTTTTCTCTCTGCAGGTCAATTTATCGTAATTGAATCATTTCTCAGCAAATTTTTTAATTTAATACGATTTTTTAAATATAGAGCAAATACCGCTTAATTTACCACGCCTTTTGCTCTCCAATGTCACACTATATAATTTTACTCCTTTTACCTTTTTTTTGGTAACAGAGAACTGTTTACCTTATCCTTCATAGTTGACAAAAATGAGTAAAGATCTGGCAAAAAATTTAATGTAAATGAATCATCGATTATAATGATTTTATATCCCTAAATTAAAATTTAATTCAACTTTAGAAACTAATTTGGTAAATTTCTTTACAATTATAAAACTTTTGAGCTGAGACTATCACTGATTAGAATAATTGTATTTTCTTAATAAAATAAAAGCTAGTAATACCCAATCACGAAGGAGTCTTTTAACACGAAAATTTATCTGAAACAGTATATCACATAAACTTTTATTATCCTGAAATCGTTTTTGCAATGAAACTTGAGCTTAATATAATTATATCTGATTTCATTTATAATAAATGACATGCTTAATGACTTGATATGTAAATAAAATCTTTTAACTTAAGCGATCTTTCCAAGTCTGCTGCATTCATTAATTTGATCTGTGACGCTTTCTTATTACTAAGAACCATATAAGTAAATTTTAAATTAATTTCACAGTATTATTTGACATTCCTATTTAAACGTGATACAGTAATCATCATAAGCTTTTGATTCTTAAGATAAAATGATGAACAGCGGTGATAAGATATTCACAATACTTTAGAAAATTGATCATGTTAATTTAAATTGTTTATTTAATTTCTTTTGAAAACATGGCTTTACGGAGAACCTAGAAAACATTAATCATGATAATAAAATTCCGTGATGATTGAAAAAGGAATTTAAACATCAATTTCAGATTAACTTGTTAAAAGAAACGTTTTTTGGAATTTTCTCAAAAATGCATCAACCAATTTAAAATCGATTTTTTTGCAGAAGATGTAAAAGTTTAAGCACAAAATTTTCATCTTTGGACATTTTTAGCTACTTTGCTTCATTTCTCGAAAAAATTCGAAAAGCTGAACAAAAACAATTCATTTACACTTGAATACGGTGTGAAAATAATAATCAATAATAATGTTTAATTTTTGAGCATTCATCGCTCAACTTTATTCTAGGAAAATGATGAAAATAATTCTTTTCAAAACAATACACAGTGAAAAGTTGCAGCTCATTAAAATAATAAAAAAGCAAATTTAAAAGGACTTCAAAATCTGGGATGATTTAGCTCACCTCATAAATCACATTTGATAGTGACAGTTGAAATCAGTCAGTTAATAAATTATGAACAGATAAGATCTTTAATATTTTTAATCTGTGACCTAATATACTCTTATAAGTCAATCAACAAGATATTCACATGATATTGCCTTTAAACAACAATTTACCTCTGTTAAGGGTACTTGCAATTGCAAAAAGGAAAATAATCAGTTTTCTTGAATTCATGGTTAAGTTATGAATTACTACGTTAATCTTTATTTTTTTTTGCTTTTTATGGCAATATACATACATTGTGTATTTTATGTTTTCATGTTAATATAATTGTATATAGGTGATATAAACAAGTCTGGAACGGCATAAATTTACGATAAATTTTTTTTCCTTTTTCATCAATGAGAACAATTATTAAAGTGACGTGATAGATTCATAACATTTTTGCTCTTATCCTCAGTTTTACGATGGATTATAGTTTTTTTAAAATTTAAAGAAAAATTATGCGACATATAGACAGCATGACATTCAATGATATGAAAATTAAAAGCATTCTTGTTATTTCTCCGCAACACTATTATGAGTCCCTGATCACATGACACCTTAAAAAACGCAAAATTTTACGAAAGATAAATAATTGATACAGAATCAATAAATGCCTGTAAGTCGTGTTTCATAAAAAAATAAAGTTCCTACGTGACTTAAATAAATATGTAATTGTTTAAGTCTGATCTTTAAAAGTACTTGCTTTATATTTTTAAATGAAAAGAATTTTAATTTTTTTACTGATAATAAACCCAAAAAAAAAAAAAATATTACAATCCTATGGTGATACCTGTTCTGCAGTAAGTGAATGAAACAGCATTTCTAGATGTCACTGATCATTGCCAGCAGCTTTTCATAATTTGTCACCTTAATGAAAGTATTTTACTATCACAATCAGTTTTGAATGACAGAAGCTTATATTTTTATTCAGAATCTTAGATAAGAAAATAAATTTATTGTATATCTTAGAGGATGCTAGAAAGTTTAAATGTGTTTAACTATCATTTTTTTTTAAAAAAAAGAATCAAATTTAAAATATCAAAATAGACGGTTTTGAACTCTTTATCTAATTAGTTCATAAATTTTTTTGGTCTATAAATGGTTCCAATAGCGGTGAATTTATCATTGAATTTAATTATAGGCAACATGTGGTGTCAAACGAGCAGGGCATTAAAATTTTTTTTGCAGCATGACAAGTAGTTGACAAAAAACCTTTAAGTTACATGAATGAATAGGACACATTTTATTTAATAATTCTCTGCAAGGTTGTCAAATTGAATGAGATGAACATGCTACTATAAGGTTTGAAGGGATATTGATTTAAGGTTAAATGTCATCGACATATTGATTATGCTTTAGAAAATATGTTAATCAAGATACATTTTGATTCTAAAATTATACAGTTTAAACCTCAATGTATATTATTATTGTTAATTTCTTACAACCAATATTATTGACTTTTCAATGATGCTGTATCACTTAATGTTAAGTCACTCCCTATCCGAAGTTAACACTCTGTCTTGCATGAAAATTATCCAGTTTTTGTTGTATCATCAACTTTCGTGAATGAATCGTCTTAAGTTCATTAACAAAATCACCATTATCCTGCTCTTCTTCCTCATCATCTCCATTATCCGTTACTTTCATTGCTGTAAATGCCTGAGAAAACAAGAGATGATTATAAATGAAAAGATGAATCATAAATGAATCAAAATGCCGGCTTTTTTTCAACGCATCTTCTTCCTTCATGCTTTTCTAAATATCAATGTCGGGGAATCCGTTTTTAAAGAAATATTTATTAACAAAATTGACATTGAAAGAGTAGATTTCATGCAAACATTTATTATTTATGTAATCGTTGCTAAAATGAGGGTCTTTACCATCAAGCGAATTGTTTCACGCTTACAAAAACTATGACATGCTTGAGGCTACTGCTGGCTCATGTAAGAAAGCCTGATTTATTAGTGTCTGATAAATATCTTGATGTGGTCTGTCACAAAATCTTTGCAAGTTGTTTCGAACACTTGACGCAGTGATTTTAAACGAATTATATTGAGTACAAATGCAAAGAAGAAATTTTTATTGGGTATTGAATATTACGAAACTTCTACAGTTTTATTAAAATCTTAAAAGTATGATTAATATTGAGGAATTGAATATATTAATTTGGGATTACTCTAAGGGGGTATATAGAATATTCTTTTTAAAATAATTAATTCTACTTTGATTCAAGAAAGTTTTCTTTTACCATATGCTCATTGTTCATGTGTAATATGAATACAAAATTCAGTTCAAATGATGTCAATATCGTTGTATCAATCTTAGACACATTGGTTATTATTAAAACTATGCACATATTTTACGAGATAATTGATTTATGAATTTAAATTTTAAAATCTTTTATTAAACATCACAGTTTATTACCCATTGAAAATCCCGAGCTGAACATATTTAACTACTTTCTATTAGTTTGCAATAAAGTTGCCAGAGAAGACTAGCACAGATAAGTAGATTTAAAAAAAAATTGATATTGTTTCAAATTAGATTGAACTCTAACAGTGCTAGTACGTTGTTCGGGAGAACATTACACATTTTTTAAACATTGAATTTTTTTTGCACATTTTGGCGCTTACGTTGAACAACATAAGAAGCACTCATAAAAAGGCACGTAAATTTATTCCGAAGGTCGCAAAATTATCACTATATTCTATTAATTACACATCTGATTCATAAACGTTAACGGTCGTTTGAAATCATCTCAATATTATATTGATAAAGGAATTAAGAACCGAAATTCCTTTTATAAAGCAAGGACAGCAACAATTTCAATATGTGTATCATGCCACAAATAAAAAATATGCAGGTTCCAATCAAGATAATACACAAATAAAATGAGCAGAAAAAGACGAAAAAAATTAAACTTGAGAAATAAGTAGGGAGGTGAAAAAAAGTAAAAGTGACCGATTTTGCTCTTCGACATCCAGTCCAATGTTTCGCCGAAAAAAAAACGAGATTAAGAAAATAATTTCAATGTCTGACCTACATTAAAGAGAACACATTTGAACTCTTTAAATTAATAGTAAATACGATTTTGTACGCGGAGTTGTGAACATTAATGTTTTACTTATATGAAAATTTATCTGCATATTAATTCGATGCAATGGATAAAGCCAAGCCGACACATTATGAAATAGGAGACTTACCTTCATTGGTGGATTGTCTGAGTTATCAACTCCATAATTTTTAGCACTCGCTGGTGTAACAGTGGCAGAATAGCCTCCTGCATCATACTCACTATTTGAACAAAATTTAAATGTATTAATTTAAAGTTCTTGTATTTTATCTTAAAAGTAAGGTAATTTTTTTAAAAGATAAAAGTCTTGTCACACTTTGCTAAATGAACATTTGAATTGTGACCAAAAGTCTTAGATAAAAAAGAAAATAGTACAAACGAGTTCACATAAGCATCATATTGATAACCTTGACATGAAAGGTTTCTTCAACCTCAAGTTTTTACAGACATGCAGATACGTACTTCATGCTGCTTAAAACTTTTTAGTTTAGACATGAAAAGAAGAATGAGAATTAAGTGGCATTATTTTCGGAAAATAGCTGGAAGGCTCGGCTCAGGGGACACACACTTAATAAGAAGAGATGGGGGGGGGGGGGGGGTGCGGTATAAATTCTCAAAAAAAAGATATACATACGAATGAACCAACGATTCTCTTAATTGAACGTTCTCTTGTTGCAAGCGAAGAATTTCCATTTCGAGGTGATCAATCTGTTGGCAGGCAGCATGCCACAAAAATATGGTTGAGAGTGAAAATTGAATATAATGCATTTTATGGGATAATAACATGCATAAGAAAAAAGAAACAAGAGAAAAATAAAATGAAGACAATCATTGACAAAAATTATGTCTTTAATCGCTTATTACATCACCCAATTCAAATTCCAGTTCATCAATTATTACAAGTGCTTCTTGGTGTTCACTCTCAAGTTCATTGTACTTTTTTTGAAGGTCGACGTATGGTTGAGTTTTCGTTGGATCAACATTTTGGATTATTTCAGATACATTTCCGATCAGTTTGACAGGAACGCGAGATGCACGCATTGATACGTTTGTTGCTCGACGTAAATTTGACTCGAGCATTTTTATATGCTCATTTTGCTCAAAGCATCGACTTGACAGGTCATTAACTTTCCTTTTTAGTTTCGTATTTCCTTCGAAAAGTTCTTCCTTTAAACTTTTTTCTTCTTCCAGACGCTGTTTGTATTTTACATTTATCGCTGATGTTCTTGAACATACTTCTTTCATTTGTTCTACCTCCACACTTAATCGCTTGTTTTCTGTTTCAAATCGACTGCTGCGTGACATATCTGAAAGCATAAGATTTCAATAGGGTATTTTTAAAGTGCAGTTCTTATTTAAAGTGCATTTTTATGTAAAGTTAGGAATTGATTTTAGAATTTGATCACTTGCTATGTTGACGTTTTATGGGAAGGTGAAAATGTAGTTTTAATTGCCTTTTTGAGAATTTATGGTTTCATAAAAATGCACTATTGCTATCAACTTTCAAAAAACTAGTTTATTTAATCAGTTTTAGTCTTCACTTTGATCAACTCTCCCCATGAGTTCCTTAATCTTTAGATTTAATCGTAAGATTTCTGCTTCATAATCACACATTTCTGTGTTTACTGCAATTTACCTTGTTCGACTGTCTTTATTCCTTGCTTTACAAAAAAAGAGAAAAAAATTTTAATGATTCACAAAGAAATTTTGAGACTTTTCTGATAATATAAACTGATATTTGTGAACCTTTTTATCGCAATATACTTATCAGTACAAGTTGATAACAGCTTTAATCATTTTTCGAAAATAGTAATACATAGCAATTTTTAAATTACTATAAAAACGTTTGTTTCATTTTTTAACACATTTTTATTTCCTAGCTTTAATCTAGAAATTATAAAAAAATTAGAATTATTTTTCTAGCAGCATCTTTTGTCTTCTTTAAAGTTAAGATATTTTTAGTATGAGTAGCTAGCTGATGGACCATGGAATGAGACTTGAGATGAAAAATCATGATTGTCATATCCTTGATATTGGACTGGAGCTACTTTTTGAACAACTGGAGCAGCATATTGTTGGACATATGGGACAGATGCAACCTTGGCAACTGGAACGGCAACCTGATAAACAAGATCAATATTTTATCAAAAGAACTATTAAATGAAAATAAAATTTAAAGCATACCTTTGTAACAACTGGAGCAACAACTTTTGTAACGACTGGTTGAGCAACTTTGACAATTTTGTGTCCCTCAACTGGTTCACGTTCAACTTTAGCGATGAATCCTTGTTCGTCATTAGCTGTGTAGTGGACGATACGACGATAGCCATCAGCATCGATTAATGTATAATATCCTTCAACATTTCCGTCCTTAGCAGATTCATGTTGTGACTTAACATCACCAGTATGTTCATCATGAACTGAGTATTCGAAATCGTAATTTGCTGGTGCTTCATGTTCCTCATATGCTACTTTCTTAACAATTGGTTGAACAAATTGTTTCACGACTGGTTGGTATGACTTTACGAGAGCTGGTTGCTCATAATAATGTTGAGGGAGTGCTGATGCAGCAGCGATGAATGCGAAAAGTGCAATGAATTTGAATGCCATTTTTAAATAATTTAATTATTTTTGGAATTGTTTATTCTGAAATGTTTGATTAACTAATGATGTCTAAAATTTCGGACTATACAATATTTATACAAAAATTTATCAATTAAAAAAAATTACTTTTACATCTCGTCCAAATTCTCTCAAAATGTCTATAACCGGCTTATTAGTATCGTTTGATTGATAATTTAAACCACTAACGTATTAGTTAATCAGTGCATTACACAATTTGTCAATCAAAAACATGATTTTTTGGTAGTTTGTTTAATTTTTGCAATCTTTTCAATTTGCGCATGGCGTTTGAAGGATTTTGAGGGGTGGTGTCATTTCACACATCTGATTTAGTTAAACTCATATATCATTCAAATATGTTTATCAAGATCTTTTGATTTTTATGCCAGTTTTTGAAATTATATCATATTACATATTAAGAATGCTATAAAATATTTTTTTACCATTAAATAGAAATAAAAGAATTTAACACTTTAATAAGTTAAATACGCACAGATCAATTGTCATAGCATTTTTCTGACAGAGTCATGATTCTCATTTATTATTTTTTCTTGCGCTTTAGAAAAACTCGAACTTCAAACTAGAATCAAAATATATAAATGGATATCTACAGATCTAGAATATGAATTTATCGGAAAGAAAACTCTTACACGTTATCAAAATTTCAAAAAATTGCAAGAATCTGATGTTAAAGTAAAATTGTATTCATATTCATCTTCAGTTTTATTACATCAATTTTTTGGAATCTCTTTGTTCAGATAATTAAAGCGATCGCTAGTGTCACATTAAAAACAGATCAACTCTTACTAGTTTCTTTTTAAAAACTATTACTCTGAGATATTAAGAGATACAATGCATCACAAAAAAGCGTATGCGAATAATGATTTGTGGGCTGTTCGAAAGCATTAAGCAATAGATGATTGAACTCTTTTTTGAGTCTGCATATATAAATTGAGCTGCTTGTAGCGTTTAACATATCATTCATCAAATATCAGTCTAATAAGTAAGTTGTGTGTGGAAAAAATCAAAGTATTCAAAAATGGCATTCAAATTCATTGCACTTTTCGCATTCATTGCTGCTGCATCAGCACTCCCTCAACATTATTATGAGCAACCAGCTCTCGTAAAGTCATACCAACCAGTCGTGAAACAATTTGTTCAACCAATTGTTAAGAAAGTAGCATATGAGGAACATGAAGCACCAGCAAATTACGATTTCGAATACTCAGTTCATGATGAACATACTGGTGATGTTAAGTCACAACATGAATCTGCTAAGGACGGAAATGTTGAAGGATATTATACATTAATCGATGCTGATGGCTATCGTCGTATCGTTCACTACACAGCTAACCACGATCAAGGATTCATCGCTAAAGTTGAACGTGAACCAGTTGAGGGACACAAAATTGTCAAAGTTGCTCAGCCAGTCGTTACAAAGGTAATATAATCAACATTAATTTTATTTTTTCGTGGATAAAATCATCATAACTTTATAACGAAATTTGCCAGGTTGCCAAGGTTGCTGCTGTTCCATATGTTCAACATTATGCTGCTCCATCAGTAACAGAAGTTAAATATCCAGTCAATAACTACTATGATCATCATTATTAATTTTTTGAAACAACTACATATTGATGTTAATGTTGGTTCTATGCTAAGTATAGTAATCATCATATTGAAAAGGCTATTAATAAATCAAATTCACTTAAAAATAAACATGTATGCAAGAAATTATTTCAACTGAACAATGCTGAATTAAAAAGTTGAATGAAAATATTAAAGACTAGAGTGTCGGGTTTGAAATCTAATGCGAATATATTCACACAAAAGTCTAGTGAAAGTTTAAAGTTTAACGGATTAAAATCCGTATGAATCCATCCCTAGGTAGAGACATGCTGAAGGTAGGCTGTGCCTTGACATAGGCAAAAAATGTTGCCTATTCCTAGGTAGTGCCTTTTGCTAGCCATGCCGTTACAAAGGTGTTGCCTGGACAAAGGAAAAAGTTATCATGCTCTGGTAAGGTACCTTTCCAAAGGTACCTATCTGACTACTCTGGTCTCTACTATGTCTTGTTATTGATATTTCTTGCGGATTTACTTGCTTGTTTACTTGCATCAGAAAGACTGATTTGAGGTTTTCTCAACAATGCCTCAACAAATTTGAAATCTTTTTTTTTTCAGAAGATGTAAAATTTTAGGCACAAACTTTTGTATTTTTTTTAATTATTTATTATTTTTTCTTTTAAGGAAGGTTAAGCACAGCATATTTCATTTGTACTACATAAATTCGTATTTCCAGTTGTTTATTGAATTGTTAAATTTTTAATAGTAATATCCTCCATTCCATGGTCTATGCTCTGGTTTCCATTGTGTAGGTGCAGGTTTCCATCCAGTTTGTGCAGGAATCAATTTAACTGTAGCTTGGAATCCATTCTTGTCATCAGCAGTGTAATCAACAATTCTCTTCGAACCATCAGGTTCAATCAACCAGTATTGTCCCTTGATCACCCCATCTACAGCCTTTTCAAATTGTTGTTTAATATCTCCAGTTTTGGGCTCATTGACTTCATATGAAAATTCAAAATTTGCAGGCTTTTCAGTTACCGGCTTCCAAATTGGTTCTAATTTCCATGAAGCTTGAGTTGTGGTAGCTGGTGGAAGATAGTGCTGTACTGGAGGAATGTACGTTGGTAATATTCCAGCAAGAGCCATTGATATAAGACAAGCAAAAATTACAAGTTTTAGTGTCATTTTCTTAAAAAATCTTCTTCTAAACCATTGAATATTTTTGTTGAAATAGTAATAAGAAACTGATAAACATATTGAGATTGCAGGATCTTTTTATACTCAAAGATTATCGAAGAATCTTCAAGGAAATATTATTGATAATACTGGGATGATAAACTTAAGCGTGATTTTGCAATAATTAAAGCTTATTGGCTATTTAAAAAAAGTATATAGACAGCCTGCTACTTTATTAATACAATTTTATTAATTGGATCAAGTCTCATGGCCTCTTCTCTGATTATTGACATAAGTAATTGAATTTTTAAGGGTTTTGAATTTCCGAGAAGGTTATTGATTATAAACATGGAGGTAACTTTTAATTTAAACTTTTTAATCCTTTAATCAGAATATTGAAATAAATTTGAGCATTAAATGTTCTGAAACAGGGACGTAGCCAAATAATTTTAATTTAAATTATTGCAACTGATTTTAAAAAAAAATCATAAAGTTTTCTTATTTGGAAAATTGTCGTATTAAGTTGAGTTTAAGTTAAGAGAGAGATGGAGAGTTAATGTCGATTCAAAAAGTTAATGTAAAAATTCGATAAGAGTGTAGCTATATCATCAGTGAGGACTGAAAATAACCTAAATTATTTTATTATTTAAATTACAGAAGTCATATGCAGTAAAATAAAAATTCTCCAATGTAGGTTTTTTGAAAGGAAGACGTTTACTTAATTTTTATTGGAAGATCAGATGATGATATTTCAGAAAATTAAATTCAATTTAAAAGGTATAAAAAGATCTGCAGATCGGAAATTCAGTATCAGTTTCTTGCTTGATTTTCATTGATTACATATTTAAACTAGTAATGAAGCCGATCACGCTTCATGGGAATATTCACACAATCCTATAGAACTCTCTATGTACTGTTCAGAAAATATTGAAAGATCTTCTCTCAATAAAATGTAAAACTTAAACTAAACATTTTAGTGTATTATCAACAAAGTAAAAAATGCCTTAAAAACACGTTTTACAAAGAAAATCATGGTTCCAGTGTCGCAAAAAATACAATACTTAAAATTATAAATAAAAAAATACGACTTTTGAAGAAAGCCATTAACTCTCTGTTGTAGATCAGACTTAAACATAGGTTACAGTCTTGGATAGTTTTGCAACTTCCGCTTCGCTCCAGTTGCTACTCCGCAGTCAGTCTCTTATGTAGATCAGACTTCAAAATAGGTTACAGTAGGTTACAGTCTTCGATAGTTTTGCAACTTGTGTGCTCCGTTTCGTTCAACTGTTTATAGATTACAGTAGGCTCTTGTATAGGTTACAGGTGTAAAATAATGATCTCAGTAGTCTGAGAAAATAAAAAAAATCAGTTGAAAAACACGAACAAAAACATTAAGACGTGTTTCATTAAAAATTAAAAATAAAACAACAGGTGTGTTGAACTCAGATCTTATAGATTACAGTAGGTTTATAAATTACAGGTGTGTTGAACTTCAATATCAATATTTATTTTTAAATACTTTTAAGGTCATAGATGCAACCAAATTATCTAGATCGATCTGGATTTTTAAAAACGGGTAAAATTTTCACGCCTTCACTTCGCTTCGCTCCGTTCAGGTCGTAAAAATTTGTGAGCTTCGCTCAACCTAGTTTAGATTTATAGGTTACAGGTGTGTTGAACTCCACTCCGTTTCACTCCGTTTCGTTCAACTGTTTATAGATTACAGTAGGTTTATAGGTTACAGGTGTGATGAACTTCACTCCGTTTCACTCCGTTTCGTTCAACTGTTTATAGATTACAGTAGGTTTATAGGTTACAGGTGTGTTGAACTCCACTCCGTTTCACTCCGTTTCGTTCAACTGTTTATAGATTACAGTAGGTTTAAAGGTTACAGGTGTGTTGAACTTCACTCCGTTTCACTTCGTTTCGTTCAACTGTTTATAGATTACAGTAGGTTTATAGGTTACAGGTGTGTTGAACTCCACTCCGTTTCACTCCGTTTCGTTCAACTGTTTATAGATTACAGTAGGTTTATAGGTTACAGGTGTGTTGAACTTCACTCCGTTTCACTTCGTTTCGTTCAACTGTTTATAAGTTACAGTAGGTTTATAGGTTACAGGTGTGTTGAACTCCACTCCGTTTCACTCCGTTTCGTTCAACTGTTTATAGATTACAGAAGGTTTATAGGTTACAGGTGTAAAATATAATCTCAGTAGTCTGAGAAAATAAAAAAAAATCAGTTGA